CACGAGGTGGTACATGACCCCATCGCAATTGAGCAAAATCAGCAAATCCAATAACGCCATGTGTTGGAAGAGATGTGGGCAGGTAGGCTCTTATATTCATTGCTGGTTGAGTTGCCTAGTAATTCACCAATTTTGGAAGGAGATAACTCTACGCATGAGGGAAATGACCAGTCAAAAAATCTCCTTTAAGCTGGAAATGATTTTATTGAATAAATGGGATGACTCTACAAAGGAAGACAAAAGACATCTCACATCGCTTCTGTTAACAATGGCCAAACTGACAATAGCCGCGCTGTGGAAATCCCCAGACCCCCCTACTTTATCTTTATGGCATGACAAGCTGTGGGAACAGTTTATCATGGCGAAAATTAACAATTTGAATCAGGGGGTTCAGGCGTCTAATATCACATTGCATTTGAAATTTGGAAGATTTTGGTCACCAGTAATGGACTATATGACGAATCACGAGATATTACCCACAAACCACATATATCATAGATGGCTGTTCCTATAATGCTTGTGATATCAGCGGTTTCTGAATAAGAGGCGTAAGATGATATATACTGTACAATGATCAAGGGTGGAAATTAGGAGAGCAGACTTTAGTTTTAATGGGCTTAATGTAGCTAAACCTGGTCACCACGAGTTAGACTTGTAACCCGCCCCGGCTCACGGTGGATAGAATACTTATAGTGGATATTGTTTGCATATCTTTGTTGGACACACGGTGTAATGCATGTAATGTTTGAAACTTCAATTCCTCCATTTGTGTTTATGTATACTTTCAAGTAAAAGAATAAAAATAATTTTTTTAAAAAAAATAAAAGCTTGAAGATAAAAAAAAAAGAATGGTTGTGCTGCTTAACCTCTTTGAAGCTCATAAGGTATCTTTAAGGAGATGGCTGCTGAGGGCTGAGAACACAAGAGCCCTGTTGGATAAGACCAGGGGGGCATCCAAGTGCCTCTAGGAAGCCCCTAATCAGGGCATGCCTTCCCATGTTGCTGGGCCTCCCATAGCACCTGGAGCTCAGAGGTGCAAACCAGGAGACCTTTGGTGCTCGTGGTGAGATGTTGTGCTTTTGTTTTCCTTAGGGGGAAGGGTCTTTGAAGCCAACAAATCTGCCACCCTTTTGCAGCTCCTCTTCCCATGCTGACCAGCCCTCTCTCACATTCTGCCCTCCTCCTCCTGGCTCCTCTTGGCTTCAGCGATTTTGCTTCTAGGTGCAGTGATAGTGTGGGTGTCTTAGCACAGGTTAGTTTCGCCCACATCTTCAGTGTCAGCGAAAGGCCTGTTTTCTGTTACTAAATAAGTTTCTTAAGCAATGTGAATGTGACACTCGCCTCTGTATTTCACCCTCTTCTTGCAGCATATTGAATTTGTGACTCTTGCTGTCTCCCTGGCAGCCACTGAAAGGAGCAGCTTTCTTTTCTTGCCAGACAACTCTTCCAAAATTACTCTTCCCTCTTTATCATGGAATAGATTCTTGCACATACAGGTACACGCAGGCCAGGCAACCCCAGCAAGCAAAGGTGGCAGTGAAAATGTAACCCATCTCAGCCTCCTTCATTCCCATTCTTGTGCAGTTTGGTGTAGTGGTTAAGTGTGCGGACTCTAATCTGGCAGAACCGGGTTTGATTTCCCACTCCTCCACTTGCACCTGCTGATGTGACCTTGGGTCAGTCACAAGCTGTGGCACAGCTGTTCTTAAAAGAGCAGTTTGTGTCAGAGTTCTCTCAGCCCCACCCACCTCACAGGGTGTCTGTTGTGGGGAGGGGAAGGGAAAGGAGTTTGTAAGCCACTCTGAGACTCCAAGTGAAGGGCGGGATATAAATTCAAGCTCTTCTTCTTCTTCACATCAGATGGAACTTTCTGAAGTTCAGGCAGTGTTCCCTCTAAGCTCAGTTCGTGTGAGCTAGCTCACAGTTTTTTAGCCTCCGGCTCACACATTTTTGTCTTTGCTCTGGAAGGATGGCTCCAGAGCAAGCTAATTTATGCAGCAGCCAAATCGCTCGCTCACAACTTTAATGCCAGTAGCTCACAAAGTAGAATTTTTGCTCACAAGACTCCACAGCTTAGAGGGAGCATTGCAGGAGCTGATTTCTGAATTACTGAAATACAAAATCGCAGCACTTACTTGTTTACGTAGTGGAGTGTATAGATCCTATTCATTTCTTGCTAAAGTTATTTTTCTCTTTTCTTTTTAAAAATGTAGAACACACACATGAAGCGGCCTTATACTGAATCAGACCATTGGTCCATCTCAGTCAATACTGTGTACACAGACTGTCAGCAGCTCTCCAGGGTCTTAGAACAGAGCTCATACACATCATCTACTGCCTTTTAAACTGGAGAGGCCAGAGATTGAACTTGGAACCTTCTGCATACCAAGCAGATGCTCTGCCACTGAACCACAGCCCGTTGCTTGGCTGGATCAGACTAAGGGTCTGTTAAGTCCAACTCATTTCTTGAAGTGTCTTTTGGCTGCTTCTGGGAGGCCCACAAGCAGGATGTGAATGCCAATCTTTCCCCGGTGTTTGGTTCTCATTACAATCGGAACATGGAGATTCCATCTAGCAGACTTGGCTTATAGATTCTGGTCTACCTATCCTCCACAAACTTGTATGAAGCTTTTTTTCAAAGCCATCTTGGCTAGTGGCCATCATCACATCTAGTGGGATTGAGTTCTACCTTTTTATTAATATGTTCTCCACGTGGGTGACCCTTAGTTCTACTAGTATGAGGGGTACAACAAATTTTCTCTCTGTATGCTGTTTCTAATTTGGTAACTCTTTCCATTGTCTTCTGGTTTCCTAGGGAAGATGTTCTTACACACATTGCCTTAACTGGCATTTTCTGGACCCTTTTCTGCTGTTAGGATATCCTCTTTTATGAGAGAGGGAGACATTAATTGAAGGTGCTGTATCCATTCGTAGTTCACTAATAGCTGAAGTGGTTGGCCTCCTGCCATTATACCTTTTGCATGTTTCACCTATGCAAATTAGTCAGGCAATGTTATTTTCTGTGCTTTATAGTCCTGGGGGATGATGTCACTGACAGCCAATCTTAGCACTTGCATTGTGTCTTGCTCATGATTGCCTTCTGAATGGTTAAGATCAGCTACACCTCTTCTGATAGTCCACTTAGTGTTGGTTTTCCTACAACAGAAATCCAAACATGGTCCTGCAAAAGTGACTCTTATTTGTCTTCTGGGTTGATGATTTTGGGGATGTCCTTCAGATGGAACCCTGAGAGAGGCTTGGCCACTAGCAGAGACGATGGCCTCTTGCCAGCATCGTTTCTGAGATGACAATGTCTGCTCATGTGGATTCTGCAATCTGCAGTAGAGATAGGTGGGGTACCGCCACAGTTGTCATGTGGGTGCTGAAATCCCTCCCCAAAAGCCATCCCTTTAGAGTGTTGGGAAAAAAGTCTAGAAAGCTTGGTACCGTGTAACCAAACAAATAAAAAATTGCCTCCTCTTTAGATGTTATGCAGTACAATGTATTCGCTCATGCCCTTTGCACACAAAGCTGCTTTATATCAAGTCCTCCATCTAGCCCAGTATTGTCTACTCTGGCAGTGGTTCCCTAAGAACTCTTAGGCAGACATATTTTTCATTCTTGCTGCCAGAGATTTTGAACAGGAGTTAGTAGGGAATTAAACCAGGGGCCACTTACGTGCAAAGCCTGTGCTCTGCCCCTGAAATACACCAAAGATAAATTACCCCTAACTCTCTGAGCATGGCTTTTTTTACGATCAAATCTGGGGTCCTCTCATAATTTGAGGACGACTCATGCCTTTTAGATTTACAAGCCAGGTGGACAAGATGCACATTCTCGTAGAAATTTTGGTTACTAGCCCAGGAATACCTGAGCATGTTCTGTGCAGTGAAGAATACCGTAACATAGTAGCTTGCTGTGTAAAGCATTGGAAAGTTGGGGCATGTCATTCAGGAAACTATCCTCAGGACAAATAACCAGCAATGGTTCATCTGTGGTATTCTGTTCTCCTAACTGCTGAACAAGAGCTATCCTATACTGATTTCAGTGAGCATAGCCCTGACCTGGATAGCCCAGGCAAGCCTGATCTTGTCAGATCTTGGAAGCTAGAAATTGGAAAGGAGACCTTCAAGGGACACCAGGGCTGGGATGCAAAGGCAGGCAATCAAGCCATCTCTCTGAAATGTCCAAACCCCACTAGGGGTCGCCAGAAGTCACCATGATTTCCAGGCATGCAAGCACACACACAACCCCTCCCCCCCAAAAAAAAAGAAATCAGTGGGCGTAAACTGGAATAACTTTGCATAGGGTTGCACTGTAAATCTTTAAGTGTGGATGGGAAAATGTTGGAAATATTCAGTGTCCACATTGTTCCCATTTATAAGGCCAGGCTCTTGAGTGGTCAACTTCAAACTATTGCAAAGTGAATGTTGAACTCTTTTGGTTGAGATATGTAATGAAAGGGGGATGTTGCCCAGCTATCCTTGTGCCAGATTAGCTCTGAAAGGACATGTCCATTTTTGGAAGGGAAGGAAAGAGGAAACTCACTCTGATTACTTCTAGAATGCCAGCTGGAACTTGAAAAGGTAGAATTTGGGTTAAATTTGCAAATGGATAGGATTTCAGTTTCATTATTTAAACTTGCTCTTGAAAGAACTGATACCTTAAATTTACTTATTTCCTCTCCCCTTTCTATTTCTTTTTCCTTTTGTAGGCTCTTTTATGTTGTGTTTCTTAGCAATTATGCTAAATTGTAAACTGCATTGAATACATTGGCAGAAATGCAGTTATCTAGTCGTATTTCTGTTGCATTTTAGTTTACTTGTAAGGTGCTTTGAGAACCTGTTCTGGTTGGCTCTGAAACCTTCCTAGTTATTCACTTGGTCAAGAACTCTTACAGAGACTTCCATTACTCTGATGGCATCCGTCTTCGAGCCTGTCTGGCTGCTGTGGATTGTCTTCCTTTCTGAGTTAACACTGCTTCTGTTTTGTGTTCCCAGATTAACCTGAATAAAGTAGGTGAATACTGGTGGAGTGCCATCTTGGAAGGGGAAGAGCAGATCGACATCGATAAAATCAACAAGGAACGTTCAATGGCTACTGTGGATGAAGAGGAACACGCTGTGTTGGATAGACTGAGTTTTGACTACCACCAGAAGCTGCAAGGCAAACCCCAAAGCCATGAGATGGTATGTTTTTCTTAAACACCCTTTACCTATTGGGCCACAAATGGGGAATTGCTTTGTTTCCTGGGAGTACAGCCCTTTCCCCCCGTGTTCTGTGTGTCAGGTAAATTGTCAGATGATATGAATAATTTGAGGGATTCCCTCTAGGATGGTAGAATAGCTTTTTAAAAATGGGATGATTTTGTCCTTTGAAGAGAAGAGAGCTCCATGGCTGGCTTCCACAATTCTGCTCCAGTCTGTCTTGGGCCAACTGAGGCAGGGGGACAGGCATACAACTGCTTGAAGGGGAAAAGAAGAATAGGCAGAACTCTGAATCCTTCATGCTGGACATGAGTTGTGGAAAATATGAGAATCTCCTGTTGATATGACTGGGAAAGTTCCACCAAGCTAGTAACTTGTGGACCCATTTGCATGGCTGATCTGAATGCTCCCATTTTTGGTGCTTCAAAATGGTGCCGCCTCTGGTGTCCTATTAAAGGTTAGGAAGGCAGTATGTGAACTAAATGATTAAAACAATGTGAATGGCTACTGTTCTGAGAGAGCTGCCAGGTGTAACTGTGCCTCAGTTGATGCATGATGGCTGTTGGCTTATTAATTGCAGCGCTCTTAGAGTGTGAAGCGATTGCCAGTAAAACTTGCAGCATTTTGTTATTGTGAGCTGTGCTGGAAAGCATCCAGTGATGTATCTGGCTTTGAAATTTCACTCATTTACTGTCATTGGAAAATCTAATCAGACAATAATAGTGTGTATCACTATTTATGTCACTTTGTATGTTATTTTTTTCATGATTATGTATGGAGTCCATTGTGACTGTCTTTGGGGCTTCAGAAACCATGCATCAGCTGTTGTGGAATTAGCCTAACAGTGTAGTCTGAAGCAGAGTTACACTGTTTAAAGTCTGTTGAAGTCAATTGGCTTAGAAGGATGTGACTCTTCTTGGGGTTACAGTGTAAATGTCTGCGCCTTATCTAGAGATCTAAAACTTCTGGATATTTTGAAGCCACAGGGGAAAAAATGTTTCTCCCCCCGCCAAAAAAAAACCCCAGAAATTTTGGGAAAAATTGAAATATATGCAATACCCATTGTCATATCAAACCTAAAACTAATTTTACTGCTTTAACAATATTAAATGCATCATTTATCATTTACTTAGCATATAAAATTGCAATATTTGATGTATTTATGGAATTTGAAATTTATAAATGCCTTAGTTTTCTACAAGCAAAATTGCAAATGTACCCAGTACTAGAGATAAAACTGCAAGCTGATTCAACCCATGCAATCTTAGCACATGTACCTTAATACTTGCTTTCTGGTTAGAGAGATCTCAGTTCTCGATGAAACTGTCAGAGTTTTCCTTTGAGGCTTTGGTGCAGTTTCTGCTGCACATCCTATTGATCTTTTTTTCCCTCCAGTAAGGTAGGGCAATAAGGTACTTTTTACCCAGTCTATGGGTAAGTGTGTCACAGTGCTTTGAGGGAGAGATGAAAAGGTCAACCACAAGTCAGGTAAAAAGGACAACAGAAGGCATGCAACAACTGAAAAGCAAGGAAAGCTCTGCTTGCTTTCTTCATGAATTCGGTAGCCTTCTAGGTGCAGAAATACATCTTGAATTTAAGAGCTGCATATGTCTTCACCATTCTAAAAGATAAAATATTTCATATGAGGTTTTCTTTTCAGTACTGCCCCAAATTTCCTATTTTTCTGTTGGAAAAATGGAGGGAGGGAAGCTTCAGAAAAATTGTGGTCCTCCCTAAGTTTTTCAGGGTTTTTTTCTGGACCATAATATCTCTAGCCCCATCTCTTCTGTTAGGCTCAAGATAGATTGCAACAAGCACAAAATACTCTCAGATCTGCACTCCTATAAACCAGTATTAAACCGTACGCACATCAAAATGATTGTATCAAAAGTAGTGTTTTTAGATCTCAGAGATGCACTAAGAACAGAGAATAATATACATTTAAAAATCTCAACTCCTCCAAATGAGAAAACCTTGCGCTGTTTTTCAAAATGATCACTTCTGTGAATCAGAACCTCTAAATTTCAATTGTAAAGAACAGGATTGTGTAGTGATGCCTGAGGTTTGTGGGGCTGCCGATTCCCAAATGTTCTCTTTTTTATTTCTTAGATTATTTACTAGTGGAAAAACCAGAATGGGATCCCCTTTTGGTTGGCAAGCATTACCAACAAGTTCCTTTGCCCTTCCAGTGTAGCAGAGCTGATTATTCATTTTATAGTGACGATTCCATGAATATGGAATTCAGTAGGGAACTGACTCTGATGCAGCAGTTCCTCTCAAATGGCAATGTTTCTTCCTTTTTTCTTTCTTTCATTAAAAAAAAGATGTTTCTGTCCACTCATGATTGTGAAGATGTGCTTGAAAATATGCTGCTCAGTGCTTTGGCAGTGGCACTTAATCATACTCCCCCCCCCTTTTTTTTTTTTGGTCTAAGCTGAACCAATTCAAAACCAGCAATAACTCAAAAGGGCTGATGGAGAACAAAGCATGTCGACTGAAGTGGTTCCCATTTAAATGAGCAAAGACTGCAATTAGTATCATCTATGCATAATTCAGGGTGCAGAATTTAAATCGTTTTGGAGCAGAGTTATGAGTACCTAGCATAAACATCCCCCACACATTGCACACAACAATTCAGTTCCCAGTTGTTTCTGCTCTGAGGAAGGCACCTCGCATGCCACGGTCTGTGGCACTCAGTATGCCTGGTGCTGCTGTACATATTTGAAGCTCATAGTTTTTGCTCACTTTGCAGTAGGCACTCTTAAAGATAATATGTTACTGCAGTGCCAAGCTGCCTCGATCTATCAGGAGCACTGGGAAAACTAGACGAGAAGGAGGATCAGGCTCCCCAGATCAGACTTGCTTGAACATAAGAACATAAGAACATAAGAGATGCCAATGTTGGATCAGTGATCAGGCTCCTCAGATCAGACTTGCTCGGTGATTTAGGGTTTTTTGGGGGGGGGATCCCTGAGGTGTGTTCATAACAGCTAAGTGGGGGAAAATTTGATTGATAAGGATAGATGTTGAAGGCTAGTAGGGTAGCAGGGTTAATCTCTCTCTCTCCTTTCCTCCCTTCATGCACCACCTTTCTTCCCAGTGATAATCCAGAGCAGCAGCTTACATTGTTCTCCTCTCCTCCATCTTACCCCACATTTACCCCTGTGAAGATCAATTCATGTGGGTAGCCGTGTTGGTCTGAAGCAACAGAACAAAGTTAGCGGGCTAGGCTAGGCTGGAATTGGTGACTGGCTCAATGTCAGCCAGCAGACTTCCATGGCGCAGTGGGGATCTGAATTTGGCTCTCCCAGACCTGACACTCCAACACTGGTTCTGACACTCTAACACTACATGTATATATGTACACTGCCTAAATTAACATGCCTCTGTTGCAATTTCAGAAAGTCCACGAGATGCTGAAGAAGGGCTGGGATGCTGAAGGCTCCCCTTTCCGGGGCCAGACGTTTGATCCTTCCATGTTCAACATCTCTCCCGGGGCTGTGCAGTTTTGATGATGGGAGAATCACCAACATGCCGGGGACAGCAGGGACGAAGCAGATGCCACTGCCATACCCCTCCTGCTTGCTGATGACGTCAAGCAGCCCGTTTTCTTTTTTGTCCCTGCCGTTGTCATCTGGGTTTGTTTGCAAAAAACGACAGACTTTAAAAAACGGGCCCGGCATGTGGGTTTGGTTTTGGGGAGGGGATGTAGAGGGAGCTGAAGTGTGAGTGTGGGTGAGTCCTTCCCTCTGGCATCAGGTTGGCAGATTTGATATGCGTGTGGGGGAAGCCCATCAAAAGCAGCATTACGCACCGCGTTGCCATGACAACCAGTGGCTGCTGGTAGCGTCTCCCGTCTCCCCTTCTCTCTGCTTCTTAATGGATTCATTTGCTACTTTTTTTGGGGGGGGGAGCAGTGTGGTGGAGGTCAGGAATAGGTGCAGTTTGGTTGAAATGACTGCAGCTTTTCTCTCTTGCTGATTTGAAGGTGCATTCTGTTGCCCAGTTCCAGCATTTAAGACACATCATCTCCTTAAAGTACTGGGCAGTTCAGCCTTTTTAAAAACATCTTTAAAACATGGTCAGTGTCATTCAGCAGTCTCTAAAATGTTAGGTTTGGTCCTAACAGTGGGAGGTAGTTGCTGCAGGCACCTACAAATATCAGGAAAAGAGCCAGAGTCACTCGACAGCCATATCCTATCGGTGGAGGTCTGTAAAGCACAGGCATGGGACAAAAAAAAGTGTGGGGGGGAGGGGGAAACCTTGTTCTTGTCGTCTTGATTCCAAAGTCTGAATTATTTTGTTTCCCAGAGAGCTGCATTTCTGTGTTGCGGACCTGAGTTAGTTAGTTGACAAAAGCATTTAGAATAAAACATACCTTTTCTCTCCCTCTGTTGCCCCTTAAATGCATGTGCTTTACTGTGGACTCTGGCAAACAGCTGCTGCTGAAAAGGAGGCAGTCTTCATGGGGTACTGTCTTTCCTCTGATGACCTTGTATTGGGAGTGCTCTAAAGCATCACAGGCAAGCGGCAAGGTCACTGAACAATACCACCTGGTTGGATTTCATACGTTTTGCAACAAGGGAAGGGAGCTTTGATCTTGTCACTCATTGGATCATTCAGAAGATGGCACTGCAATGCCAAAAGTCACCACCAATGGCTTCCGTGCCTCAGCTGGCTGTATGACTCTGCCTGGAACGTATCAACTGTTCTCAGTAAGATGGTGGTCCTGCTCCTGTGTGCTTGAGGAGGGAAGGGTACTAGAGAGTGCCATTTGTCCGTGGTGATCTCTATATTGTTTATTCTCATGTCAGCAGCAGGCAATCTGATTTTAGGGAGAAAAGGTGTGTTTGGAATTGAATGCCTGTTGCCTCTTTGGAGGGTCCCATTCCCTTCTTTCTTGAGGCGGGCTTGAACCCCTTGTAGAGAACACATCAGGGGAAGGCCTCAGCCTCTATGCCATGTTGTTCTGACAGTGCTGGAGCATTTTGGGCAGGTGAATAAGCAACAAAAGCCATGTTTGATGCAAAACACTCCATTTCAGATGTATTGTTAGTTAGAGCTGCTAGAAGACTTCTTGTCACTGTCCTTTAACTGAAGAAGTGAACTGACAAGTTATTGTACGTAGTACAGGCAAGGGGCTGTACAGATCTCAAGATAACCTGATAGAACATGATGTGTACAGCCAACTGAAGGGGACAGTAGGAGTCCACAGAGAAGCTTGGGATTTATTATCATGAAGGAGTGGACCTTCCAACATGTGTTCTTCACTGATAACTGCCCTCATTAGAGAGCTACATCAGGTGTGATTGGCCAAAAATGGGTCAAGGGACTAACTGGCCAATACCTGGTCATGCTTGGGTCTTCAAGCAAGTTGAAAGCGATCTGGAGGAAGTGGACTGATGTTCTGCTTCTTGCTTATAGACCCTTGAAAATAACTTTTTAAATGACAAACAAGTAAGATGTGCCAAATTTATCTAAGTGGGGGCTGTCTAACTGCCTTTAGAATTCAGCACAGTGGAGAAAAGGTGCTTTCCCTCCCTCCTTGGTGGTGTAGCTCACACATCAGCTTGCCCACCAAAGGAAGAAAATAGAGCTGCTTTGTTACTAAAGGAGATGACAAGCAGAGCACACTCTTTGGAACACCAAGTGTGGTAAAGCCGCAGAAGGATCCAGCACTGTTTCTTTAATTGTTCTAGTTAAAAAGGTAGCAGATTTTCAAGTTGCACAGAATTCTTTGTAACTCCAGAGTTGATTGCCCCTTCTACACAGCTGGACCCCAACATACTACTTAACTATAGGTTGCATCATTTTAATTCCTATTTGGGTCAGCCTGTAGCTGCAATGGAAAGTGCATTATGGATCTGGTTTAGCATTCTGTATTTTTAGCTCTGATCAGTCTCATAGGGGATCTCTGCACCTGCTTGTCTTCCTTTGAGAAATATGTTTAGTGTCTTTCCTCCTGAATGCTAAAATAATCTCACACTGCAGTTGACTGTGTTTCGTTCAGCGTTGGCAGTGGAGAGGAAGCTAGTGTGGCCACAACACAAGGCAAAGTTTTGTTTGTTTTTTTGCCATTGCAAGAGTTCAGCAGTCTAATTCTGAATGGCAGTTCAGAAGACAAGTGCTGTGGGGTGCAAGTAGATGCCAAATGCTCCCGATAACCTTGGCAAGGAATGACCGTTCTGTTATGTGATTACTAGCACATTCCATGCCAGTGGGCAGCAGCTGCATTGCCACAAAAGCAGTCACTGAAACAGGCACGTTTTCAGCTGCGGTGCGATGGGTGGAGCAAGCATTCCACTCCCACACAAGGAAGTGTGCTGGGCTCCCTGTTATGAGGGACCTGAGCTGCCTTTTGGAGTCAGCGGTGTCACATTCTGCATTTGGCATAACTGTAACTGTTCCCGGATGATCTGATCCTGAGGATGGACAAGGAGCTTGCTGGAGAAAGGAAACTGAGGTAGACCTCCCCATCTGGGCAGTTAAGTGGTGTTTGTACCTTTCTGGTTTTTTCCTTCCCCCGTTCTTTTTTTAATAGCATCAGTATTATTTGTTGTTTCTAAAGCACCTGTAATCAGCTAGGCACAGAATCTTAGAGGGCTGCCTAAAGAACTCTGGGGGGGGGGCATCTAAACAGCCGACTTGCTGTGAAGAGATTAGTGAGGCCTGGCAAGATCTAACTATTCTTCAGCAACGTGGAAGAGGTTCCCCATACAGCAGCCTGTATGAATGTGCATCAGCACTGTAATCTCCTGGGCTTCAAAATGGCTTTAACGTTCAAGAAGCTGCATTTGAATGTTTATCCACAGCTCCCCAAATGTTGGGCTTCTATAGGAATAGAGCACCTGAAGCCCTAGTTGGTTTTGATGAGGGCTAGGAGCCCCAGGTCTCTTTCCACAGATCTCGGAACCATAGATTCCAAGTGGGTGGCCTTCTCTGGGCCTTAGTTCCACATCTGTAGAAACTGGAGCCCTGACCATCTTCAAGAAGGCAATTTTTCGGTTTGTCCCATTCGGTCTTTGTCCTCCTGTGACCTTTGTACTGGCAAGCATAGCCCAAGACTGAGCATTCCATGATGGAATTTTGCCCAAGAGTTGGATTGTAGGATGCAAAGACAAAGCCATTCTTTGCTCCGGTGTGTCTGCTGTTAGCAGGACATGGTGCAAAAGTAGCAGGGGAAATTATGCTGGGAAACCTCAGTGGTAGTAATGTATTTATGACTTTTTTAAAAATCCTACAAGTATTTGGAGAATGCTGGCACATTTCTTTCTCATATATCGATTTACAAGTTGTTCACTGTTCTTGTAATAACGGAATGTCATCTTTTTAGGAACAAATGTGGGATCTGCTCATCTGGAGCTGGGAATTGACCTCAGCTCTTGCTACCTGGGATGTGTGGGGAATACAGCCTGCTTCTAATGACTGGTCTGCAGTACAACAATTGTCATGAGCCAGTTGATTACACCACACATTTATGAGCAGCTACATCATCGAGAGGGTGCCCTGAAGCCTAAAGACAACCCTTTCTCTAGCAGAGAGATTGCCCCTGCCTATTGTACACTCAGCCCATAACTCTGAGTCACCAGGCTTCCTTTTTTATCATTGTTTCCTTCAGAAGCTGCAACTTTGCCATTGAGCAAGGTAAGGGTCCATCTAGGGCAGGTCTGCACTGTTTGTGACCCTGACCACAGCTTCTCCTGGTAGCAGATCAAAGGCTTGATAAACTCCCAGCATTGCTGCCTGTTTAGGAGTTCAGAAATGGGAGGGCGGGATTGTCAGGCACCTAGCAGACCCATAGTACACTGGGATTGCCCCTGCCTATTGTACACTCAGCCTGCGCCAAGTTTTCCTGTTGTTTCTCTGTTGCTTCTCACATGTCTCTTCCCTTCCTCAGCATGGAGTGTTCTCTCAAGATGTTGCTATGAGTGCCCTTTTCTGGTTCATGTTGGTGATTTAGGTCTAGCAGCTATAGTTAGTATATGAAGTGAGTTTGTGCGGATGTTGTCTGAACTGAACAAAAATACCGTTTTCTGTTCCTCGCATCAGCTCTGTCTGTTGCGGCTTCTCTACACGCTTACAATAATAACAATAAAACTTTATCAAAGCAAGTGTGTGTTTCTGAATCTTAACACAAGGCAACTTCCTCCATAACGTTTGGGGAATAAGTGGTCCATTGCTTGCTGCATGTTGCTTTGGTTCAGCGTTTTGTTTTGTTTTTTGTTTTTTTTGGGGGGGTTGGTTTTCAGAGACAAAATTAATATTAATCACTTCAGTACTGGACCAGCATACAGTAATCCTTTTGAGACACTGTGTTTAAGATGACTTCTTTAAAGATGAACTAAGATACTTAAATTCATCATGTGCGGACACACTTTTCTGGTGTGTAACTAGAAATCCAGTCCCAAGAGGAGTGGGGGAAGTTGCAAGTTGATGTCTTCAGAAGGGAAACTGATCAAATGGCCAGAGACTCCTTTCCCATTTAACCCTGTCTAGTCTAAAGAAGAAATAAGCAAGGGATTATGGAGTATTGTTTGGAGTCCTCACTGTCCACGCATATGTTTCTGCAATGTGCATCTCATCTTGGCAATCCCAAGCAACCTAAATGAAAAACTACTGTTACTTGGAATTTAAAAAATTCAGTGAGCCCACTGGCACTCCAAAACTAGCATTTATTCCAGCATAAGCTTTCAGAGCTGACTTTGTCAGATGCATGCTTATTGTGGAATGTAAGGTGCCACTGGACTCTTTTTTAATTTTGCTGTAGAAGGTTAACATGGCTACCCCAGTGCAATTGGAGTCAGAAGGTACCCCTTGCCTTCCCTCTTATCTAGTAGTGAAGAATGTAGGAAGCTGTTTGCAGATGGTGCCAGGGAGGTGGAAAGCACATTTTCCTAGGATGCCAAAGACCCAGGGGGAATGCAGGAGAGAGAGAGGCTCTAAATCCAAAGAACCTTTAGCTGATCTTTAATCCAAAGGTCTTTAGGCTAGCTGCACTAGCTTGTCCTGTAAGTGTGCCCCTTGGGATGGTTTTCACCATCCTAATTAGTTTTGTGTCATCTG